CTCATACCACTGCTCTCTGGAGCCTCACACACCAATGTGTTTTCACCTGTGTGGCTGCCTACCAAGAGGCCATGTGATGGCACTGTGTAGCCACATTCAGTGCCTTATAGGCATTTTTCTGTGAAAAGTAGTCTACAGCTGCATAAGAACCCAACATACACCACTTACCCACTGTGAAGAGCAAACAGGTTCAAAGGGAAAATACCATAAGAATACCAGCTCTAGTGTTTACACTAGATACAGAAATTGGTTCAAACCCTTGCATGTTTAATGGATCAAGTTAGGTTGAAATCCTGACCTCACTGCCTATCATACACACTCCAACCAGCAGGTACCAACTCCTAGATATGGACAACAGTGTATTATTGCCTTGCTTAGGAGCTTATCCAGGCTCTGCTTCACCTGCTTGTCAGATTACCTCCTCCTCAAAGCTCTGTTTTGCTACCTACATCTTGGGGACACTGAAAAAGTAGTACACTAGCACATAGGTTAAACTAGCCTTTATTAAAATATAGAGCTATATGAAATTGGACCTCAAAAGAAACTTCAGAACACACATTAAACATCATAAATTGGAGGTGGCATGTCAATAATCTCATCCAGGGTAGCAAGGAAGTCAGCAGTTGATTGTAGCAAGTCTGAAAGTTAGAAATAAATCAAATCAGTTTCTCAAACTCAGAATGCACACAAACATAAGCTAGCTCCCAGCAGCTCAGCATAAACCTCTTGAATAAGCAAGGGAAATATTGCTTCATTGTATAAGCCAATGCCACCTAACTGATCAGTTTGCCATGCACCACAAAAGATTGCTCAGTGTACTCCTTTCACTGGGTAGAGTTAATCTTCTTCACAGTGTTTGGTATGGGCTGTGTTTTGGATTTGTGCTGGAAGCAGTGTTGAGAACTCTGGGATGGTTTAGTTGTGTGAGCACTGCTCAGCAACAGAGTTTCTGCTCCTCACCCCACCAGTGAGGAGGAGACTGGGAGTGCTCAAGCATCTGGAAGGGAGCACAGCCAGGACAGCTGATCCCAACAGGCCCAGAGGTATCCTAGACCCTACAGTGTCAAGCTCAACAGACAAAGCTATGGGGAGAAGAAAGGAGAGCCATTTGGAGTGATGGCACTTGTCTTCCCAAGTCACCATTACATGAGATGAAATCTGCTGTTGTGAGGATGCTAAACCCCTGCTTGCTGATAGGCACTGAATGAATTCCTTGTCTTGCTTTTCTTAAATGCATGGCTTTTGCTTTAGTTATCAAAACTGCTTTTATTTCAAAGCATCAGTTTTTTCACCTTTTCTCTTCTGATTTCTTTCCCATCCCACAGGAGAGGAGCAAGTTGTGTGGTGCTTGGTTGCAGCTGGGTTAAGCCACAAGTCAGTGACGCTACTCTGAGACAATTGCCTGAACTGGCAGCGTTGGCCAGGTACACTGAGCTTGGCTACACAGCAGAAGCTGCTTGATACTGGTGCACTGCTCTGGTAGCTCAGACAGCAGCAGCAATTCACTGCTGTAGCCAGCTGGCTTTTTGCCCTAACCACTGATGGGCACTGAACATCATGCAAAGCTTCCACTTACTGGATTCCCATGAAATCTCTCCAATCTTCACTGGTGAAGAAGCCATGTTCACACATCTGTCATATGTCCTTTCAAACACCATGAGGGGAACACCACACAGGTTGATATTGCTTAGTTTGTGTTCTTCAGGAAGATCAAAACTCTCGAAGTCTGTTTGAGAAAGACTGTTAAGTGTGCAGTAGCCTGGAAAGCTGCAAACGTCTAGACTAAATTAAACAGGAGCCAACCTAAAACAACACAACAGTTTCCTCTTATGGGGTATTTACCTGCAGTTACACCTTTCAGTTGTCCATGAAATCCTACACACTAACCCTGATGAAAACACTAGACTCCCTAATAGAACTGCTAATGTAAAGCAGTTAGTAACTTCAGCAAGCAAAGCTTGTATGTTTCATCAACACAGCAGCCTTTGGCACAGTAGTTTTCACACACATCCACATGAAGAGGAAAGTTTTAGGACACACTTTGAAGGACTGAGAATATCTGAAATGGGCTGGCCTAAGAACAGATTTAGAAGTTCCATCTTCAACTATGATATCCTAGAGCAGTAGGAATCTCTTCAGTTACAAATCTTGGCACACTCTTCTGTATTCCTTTGAATAGTCTATCTACTAGTCACTATTTAATTAACTAAGAAGGTAATACCTGGTTATTTGGAATGTGTTTCCTGGCACCACAATAAGAGACTCAGAATAACACATCTGAGGCACAGCCATTACTGTTAGAAATATCACCTCATTCCTGTTCAAGTGTTTCAGAAGCAGCAAGCACCCTTGTGTTTCAGAAAGGATTCAGGAGAAATGCAATGCTGACTTGTGTGCCACAGTAGCTTGGACAAGTTCTTGGAACAATGTCACCACTCATTAAAAGTTTTATTGTTAATTTTAATAATTACATCAACAAGTCTTACCTTGAGGATCCAAAGGAAACATATTTTCTATTTCTGGCCATTCTTCTTCAGCCACTGTATGACAGCTTTCTAATCCAGTCTTCTTGTTAGTCATAAAAAGAGGAAGTAACATAATTTGAGCTGCTGTAGAATATTTGTAGTGGCTTTCTTGTGCTGTTCAGGTCTACAGACGAGCATACCTGTCAGGCCTAAATTCTAATGCCTTCCAACACAAATAAGAGGAAGATGGGCAAATGTTTCAGCTGAGTTTGTGTAGTGCAGTACTATGTGTGGTGGTAAGAGATGACTGCACTAGAAGAGGTAACTCTTGAGGTGTGGATAAGACAAACTCAGACTATTTTCTCTAGTGCCCTGCTTTTAAGCTGGATAGAGTTATTTTTCTTCCTATCAATTCTTATAAACCCATGTTTGGATTCATGATGAAAGCAGCTCTTTCAGCTATTGCCAAGCAGTGTTTGCAGTCCAGGCCTTCTCTGCTTCTCACAAGCCCACCCCGCAGGGAGGAGGCTGGGGGTGCACAGCCAGGACAGGTGGTCCCAGCTGCCCAGAGGGATATCCCATACTGAGCATCCATGGCATCTCAGCAAGGAAAACTGGTGGGAGGCAGGGCTACCACTGCTCTGGGACTGGCAAGGCATTAGTCAACAGCTGGAAAGGAATTGGTTTTGTTTTTCTTTGAGGTTCTTAATTATTAAGTTGCCTTAATCTCAGCCTATTATTTTTCTCACATTCACACTTCCAATTCTCACCCCCTATCTCATCAAAGAGGGGGTGAGGGAGCACCTGTGTGGTGCTTAATTATATCACAATTAAGCCTCAAAGGCAGGTCAGTTATGGATTTCCCCTCCTTCCCAGCATAAGTGTGTTGTACTCACTTTGTTCACCGTGCAAGGCTGATTTTTCTGTTTTAGCTTATCCATCTTGCTTGTGACTCCTTCAGTTTTATTCACATTTCCAAGTGCCTTTCTGACAGAGCGAGATGTGACTGGAGAAGTACTGATTGCTTTTTTAGGAAGTGGAGTGTTAACTTGTGTTCTTTCAGCTAAGACTTTTGCTGGAATGGGGGGGAAGAAAAAACCAAACTTCAGCAACCCTAAAGCTTGCCTAAGTAAGTGCACATTCTGGAAAACTAGCTGACATGGAAATCACTGTTCACCATCTATAACTCATAAGCCATACTTATGACAAAAGCACAGAGTTATCTTCTATTTTATACCACCTGATGAGCTCAGAAGAATTAGTTGGGCAAGTGGATTTATGAATAGAAAACTGTTACCATTAAAAGCAGTGACTAACAAAATGTGATTTATGCCCTTCACTTGATCCCTTACTGGCTCAGGGCAGCAAATACGCACAAGATCCTGAAGGGAGCTTCAGCTGACTCTTGGGAGCACGAAGTTCACTATTCTCCTGATCAACAAAGATCAGAGTTGCCATCTTCAGATTGATGAGGCTACCCTGTAGAGTCCATAGAGAAAAAAGGGAAAACACTTTTTATCACTTGTCTCATCACAACACATCACACTTTTTAAGCAAGCCCCATTAAAAACAACAGAGCTCTCACATACTGGTCTCTAGACAAGGAAACAATCCCCTACTTCCCGCAGTTAAACAGCAGTTCAGCTAAAGACCTTCAGGTCTGAAGGTCCTATTGGTGCTCATTACTGCCATTTCACAGGTGAACAAGCAATTCCTCATTAAAGAGGTCTGCAGGAAAACTCAGAACCACACTTAGGCTGGAAAAGATCTCTAAATAATCGAGTCCAACCTAAACACCACCATGGCACCGCGTGCCACATCCAGCCTTCCCTTAAACACCTCCAGGGACAGCGACTCCACCGCCTCCCGGCACAGCCCGTTCTAACGTCTAACCACCCTTTCTGCCAGGAATTCTTCCCAATGGCCAGCTTAAATCCCCCCAGCACAGCTTATGCGATTTCTTTTTGTCCTGCTGGTTGCCTGCAAGTAAACATCAGTCTCCACCTGGCTGAACCTGCTTTCAGGTGACGGTAGTAAGCAATAAAGCCCCTCCTAAGCCTGCTCTTCTCCAGGCTGAGCTCGCTCCCCGCCCCTCCTCATCACAGCTGCGCTCCAAACCTTTCCCCAGCTTTACCGCCTTTCTCTGGCAGAAACTTCTTTTCTTTGTACAGCCTGAAGCACAAAGCAAGATTCGCAGTCCCAGACCAGCCCTACCCCCGAACCCTCAGCTCACCCCAGAAAGCGACAGCACAGCAACAGCCGGAGCCACACAGCTCAAACCACTGCAACAGGGCAGAGCGCCCTCAGCTCCAACGGCGCCGTCCTTTAAACCGGCCGCGAGCCGCTCATTGGCCGCTTCGACCCACGCGCGGCAGCCGATTGGCTGAGCGCGCCGCTCGCGCACGGCCGCACGCGAGCTCTGGGGCGGGGCGGGGAGGACACGGGGAGGTGGCTCCGCCCCGGAAGTGAGCGCGGCCGCGGGGCATTGTGGGGCGGCGCTGCGGCCTGGCGGGTAAACAGGGCTGGGGGAGCGGACCGGGACTCGGGATCCGGGACTCGGGACAGGGATTCGAGATTCGAGATTCGGCAGGGTGGTTTCTGTAGGCTCCGAGCAAGTGCTGGTGTCCCCCGCCCGGCCCTGCGCCCGGGCCTGGCGCTGCTTCCCCGCGGTGGTTCTCTCGCGTCTCTTCCGGGGTGGGCGCAGGCCCGGGTCCTCGGTTAACAGTGAGGCAGTTCGGTGGGGCTTGTTTGTCAGGACAGAGGGATGTCAGGAATGCGTAATACGGAGTTAGCTCATTTCACTGGGTGACACAAAATCACGTTGAAGAGCTGTGATGTCAGAGGGCATTGATCTGTAAGGTTTTTGTTTTGTTTTCTAATTATTTTTTTTTTTCTGCTAAGGAAAAAAGCCAAAATGGCCTCAGGTGCGGTAGCAAACGCCCCTCCTGCAGGAGGGGCAACTGATGTGAGCCTGGAGGAACCAAAGAAGATGACGAGGGAAGATTGGAGGAAAAAGAAAGAATTAGAAGAGCAGAGAAAACTGGGGAATGCACCTGCTGAAGTGGATGAAGAAGGAAAGTATGTTTTACTAAAGCTGTGGATATTCTAAAGCTGCTGAGGAAAAATATCTTTTTGTATTGTGGTTACAGGGCAATTGTGAGGGTAACACGTGATTTGAGTGTGACATACTGTAAAAGTAAATAATTTAACTTTGTATTTTAATATTTCAGTATCTCAGTATTGAGATACTTTCTAGAAAAACGTAGGATCAATGTTTATTTTCCGTCAGCTACTGACAGTTCTGCTAAAAAGTCCCATCCATGAAGCTAATAACACATGGTATTTTAAAAGTGAGCAAAACATAGCACAGGGGTCTTTCACAGTGTACCTCATCTGCTGCCTCTCCCGTGCTTTCTTACTTACAGGGCTTCTTGCTTCTGAGAAATGTTGCTATTTTTTTTTTGCTCAGTAACGTTACACAGAATAAGCCATTTGATTTGGAGATAGGAGTTTAGGTGAATTAGGTGGCAGCAAAGTCACAAAGTCTGTTTGTCAAGCTGAGTATTTATTTTGTAGTGCTTTGTACCAACTTCATTATTTATTGTCTCCTCAACTTTAACGTGAGGGTTGGTTGTTAGACTGAGTTGTTTTGGGTTTTTTCCCTGCCACGTGTTCATTGCACAACATCTTTTACAGAGATATCAACCCTCATATTCCTCAGTACATCTCCTCAGTGCCGTGGTACATAGATCCTTCTAAGAGACCCACACTGAAGCATCAGAGACCTCAGCCAGAGAAGCAGAAGCAGTACAACTCCTCTGGAGATTGGTACAAACGAGGCGTTCAGGAGGTACGCAGAGCGCCTTTCTCAGGACAGAGATGTGGGCTGGTGACGCGAGGAGGAGATTTCTGGCTGTGTGCTTTTGAGGGGGGCAGCAGTGTTCATTGAGCAGGCAGAGCAGCTGTGTGGCTTTGGGGAGGGCACACCCTGAGCGTGTTGCAGCCACGGCGCTCTCTGGGAGGCGTGTGAGCTGACGCTGTGTTTGCCCGCAGCACGCCGTGGCCACGCGGTACCGCAAAGGAGCCTGCGAGAACTGCGGCGCGCTCACCCACAAGAAGAAGGACTGCATGGAGGTAACCCGCCGCTGGCCCTGTCTCAATGGCTTGGGCTGCCACGGGAGCTTCATCTCTGAAAAACAGCTGGCTGTAGATGAAATACTGGGCTTGGAAAAGCTGTTCTGGAAGATGTTACAAGTAGTGAGAGACGGCCTAGAAATTTCTGAAGAAATTATTAATGAAGGGGGAAAGTGATGGAATTCAGTGTGTCATCCATCCATTCTGCTTGTAACAAGATCTGAAATAATAGCTGAAAATGTTATTGTTAAATAATTTCATTAACTCAGGTGCTGTTGTGTCTGTCTTCCTGCTTCATCTCAGGTAGAAGCCACCCCCAGAAGCTGTTTTAATTGCTTCCTTAATTGTAGAAAATACAAACAGCAATTTATTGAGTTTGAAGTCAGTTGTGTTACATAAAAGTGCAGAACTACTTGCATTTATTTACAATCCACAGCCTTACAGTGCTGAATTTAACTTCCTTTAGAGGAAGTGCTTGATTAATAGTATTTTAAAAGGATACATGAGTGAGTAACCTAATGGACTGATCTTTTTTTTTTCTTTCAGAGACCCAGGAAAGTTGGAGCAAAATACACAGGCATGAATATTGCCCCAGATGAGCACGTGCAGCCTCAGCTGATGTTTGATTACGACGGGAAGCGAGACCGGTGGAATGGCTACAACCCAGAGGAGCACATGAAAATTGTGGAGGAGTACTCCAAGGTTGATTTGGTACGTAGGGGCTGTCATTTATTGGGGAGAGAGTTAGTGTTTGGTGTGGCTGGGCTGGGAGGAGGGACACTTGCAGTGTGCTCTCTTGATATTAGATCTGGTGCTAAGGAGAAATATTTAAATAAATGCATTTTTGTGCTGCACAGGCCAAACGGACACTGAAAGCCCAAAAGCTTCAGGAGGAGTTGGCATCAGGGAAGCTGGAGCAAGTGGTAAGTGGTTAGCTAATCTGTTTTTGGTTAGGCTGAATGAATACAAAACAGATTATTTCTGCTTTTTGACTCTTTTACTCTCTATACAGGGTCTGCTATTGGGTTTTATGCCCTTCAGTAATTTAAAGATTTTCCTACCACCAGCATGTTCTGTGTCACACTCAAGAACTTGAAGCATATTCTTTCAAATGAGAATTTCCTTGTGTTCTCCTTACAGGCTGAAATTCTGTGTGATTGTTATTGTTGCTGGAATTATTGACATGGAATTTTGGGTCAGAAGAGCTTGTTTTCCATGTAGTAATTTTTTCTCATGTACTGAAATGCTTTTCACCTATTTAAAGATTGGGATGGTCTGCCTAGTGCTGAGGTGATGACTGTGCACTGATTTAGTAATGTTTAATATAAATTGGAATAGGAATGTGTTTCCTTAAGAAGAAGCAGATTGATTTAAGATAAAATCACTGTGCAATGACTTACAAAATGGGGGAAAAACCAGAGATTGCTACTGGTCAGAAGTAGGTTTTTGAAAGCCTCCTTGCAGAGGCTGTACTGTCCCCCCGTGGGTTGTCACTAGATGGCACAGTGAGCTCCATCTGCCACCCAGCCCAGACTACAGTGCTTTGACCTCCCCAACAGCAGAGATTCTTCCTCTTTTCATGGCCATTCTATGAAGCAAACACTGTTGGCTTCTGTATGCTTACTGCTTATCAGTGGAACTGTAGGAAGGAAAGTGTGCTTAAATTTAAGAACTGTCTCTGAGGGAGAGGACTGAGACTGATTTGCATAGTCAGTGCTGCTCTGTGTTCCAGGGCTCACAGCTGTTCCCATCTTCACTGCTGCAAGTATTTTTCAGTTAAAGACTAAGCAGGTTTAAAAAATTAGATCTGGCTGTGTTTGTCAAACTTTAATTCTGCCTTCAGTTTCATGCTTAGTATTCCTGTAAATCCTGATTAAATTCTTGAATACATATCTCCCTAATTAATTTTTAAGCTTTCAGAGTTGCAATTTGGTTATATTTACCAGATATGAAATGTTACAGTCTAAATCCTCAGTGTTCAAAGGTGTAACAAGCTCTAAATAACAGCAGCAGTTTTAGAATTTGCTGTTCTTGCAAAGAATTGGAAATTTTGTTGGGGATACTGCAAAAAGTTCTCCAAAGCTTGTGTGTCACAGAGACAGCTAAGAGCATTCTGCTAGAATGTTGTGTAGCAGTGTTTCTGCATTTGGGGCCAGTGGTAAATTGTATTTTGTATCCAGCATGAAGCTCTGCTTTGATTGCCCTTTGTATCCCTGCCATCTTGCCTTTTCCCACTGTCTTGTCTTCTCTGCTGATGTGCTCTTTGTTTGCTGCAGAACTCCCCAAGACACCAGTGGGGAGAAGAGGAATCAAATTCACAGACAGTAAGATGATTACCCACTGCATCACACCATGGGCAAAGAAGGAACCTGTAGTTAGTGGAGCAGTAAAACAGGGGTGGCACAAGGGTTTGAAGGTTGTGTCCATGCCACTGCCTACCTCTTTTTTTGGGCAGAGGTTGTAGGATTTCATAAAGAAGCTTTTTGTTTCAATTCCTATGTGTTGTCAAACCTTAGAGATGCAAGCACATAGCTAGATTGGTATGTTTTGACCAAAATAACTATTTTTTTAATACATCATAGTTAAGTTTGGGTAACTGTTTCCATAGAAGGAAGTGCAGATTCTTTAACAAGAGTGCTTCTGAAGTGTTGAATGCTAGATTAGCCTGAGAGCACACTTAAGCCCAGGTAAACCGTGCCACCTTGTAACTACAGGGATTGCAGAATTTTAAGGAAACCACTAAAATCAGATTCTTGTACATGTCTCCAGAGTGAAGGAACTATTTTAGTTAGAAATTTTCCATTTCTTCTCAGGAAAGAGATCATAACAGTGAAGATGAAGATGAAGACAAGTATGCAGATGACATCGATATGCCTGGGCAGAACTTTGACTCCAAAAGACGCATCACAGTCCGAAACCTACGTATTCGGGAAGACATTGCCAAAGTGAGTAAAGAGCTCTGTGCAGATCTTCCTCTGTATTCCTGAGAGTTAATTTCAACAAATTTACACATTCAGTTATTAATGACTTTGTTTATGGGTCTAGGGGTTTGAAAGTTAAGGTCTGTGCTCATTTCTGCTCCTGCCCTTGACTTCATCAAGGTCATCGTTTTGCACAGATAGAACTTAAAACATCCAAACTGCAGGATGCAAGAGTAACCTCAGTTCTTTCAAAATCATAATCATTAAGTGTTTTTTTATGTTGTTTTTTTTTTCCCTAGTACTTGAGGAACCTAGATCCAAACTCAGCTTATTATGATCCCAAAACAAGAGCAATGAGGGAGAACGCTTATGCCAACACAGGCAAGAATCCAGATGAGTAAGTTAAAATGAGGTCATGCTTGTATATCCAACAAAACTCTTAAAAATTATATTAATAATTTTATATTTTCTTTTACCTGTATGTCCTTTAGCTAATGAATCTCTAGTCAGTTACATGTACACATATTAGTAAACCTAGAAAAAAACTTTTATTTAGGAACACATTTTGGTTTAGTATATAAAAGTGGTATTTTTGTAATACTGACTGACCCTTAATCTTCAGGGACATGTGGACCATGGTTTAGTGTAATTATCTGTACAAGGGCTAAGACACTGCTGCATCTAGAGGTGATGCCTGTAAACAATAATTATATTTATGTAAAATATTTCAGTAACCAAATCTTAAACTTTATCCCTTGTTTCTTGGTTCTGGTGACTAGCGTGGTGAGTTTGTGGTACATAACAGAATATTTTAGTTAGGAATAAGATCTCCTCCTCTATTAATGGATTCTGCATAGAAAAGGTGTGAAAGTTTTGCATTGTCTGGATAGCTTAATGAAAGCTGCCATGGGCTGGCCTTTGGCTGCACGCTTGGCTGTCTCCCTTAAAGCCCAAGTCAGACAGTTGACCTGTGTTGTGCTGGGAACATACAGAGCAAACAGGCTGTGAGTAAAATGTGTTAAGAGAGCAGTAATTGGATTAGCTTGCTGCCTAAAATAGAATGGCAGTACCTAAATGATAGTAAATATTGCTCTTTCCACCTCTCCTTGCCCCCAGCTAGAGTAAGGCCAGTCAATTCTTTTTTTTAGATGCAGATGCTTTTGCTTCTCTATCAAGTCATAATTTAACCTTTGTTGAATCTAAATTTCTGGCACAACTTTGCAGATTGTAAATTTTTCACAGTGGTTTTGGGAAGATGAAAGAGTGGGGAATTGGATTGCTAGCATTTTTTGATCCTCAGTGTGTGTTTCATGTGCTGATTGTGCATCTCTTCAAGGGCTGTGCACAAATGTCTCACTTTACTGAGAGCAGTAAAGGTATCCCTAGCTTTCTTAAACTCAGCCTAGTTTACTAGCCATGTAAAAAAAAAATATATATATTAGAAAATATATATATAAAAATATGCTGGGTCTGGATTGAAGGGTCAGAAATCCAGAAGTGAGAATCACTGTGCTGGAATATCACAGACAGTTTATGCATATTTATTGTGTAACTAGGTCCAAGTTTAACTTCTAGTGCTTGGCATCTGAGACAGAACTCCAGGGCTGTGCCATGTGTCCCTTGAGCACAGACATCACAGTTTTTGAGTGGCTGCCTAATGCTTTCATAGCTTTACAGGGAGCGTAGGTTTTTGTTCCATGTATCAAGTTGAATGCAACTTCTTCTCCTTCTGTAAATTCCTAGTGCACAAGAGAATTTTTACTTGCCTTTCTGTGTTTGTATTTGAGAGGAAGTCACGTTACAAATGCTAAGCATTGTGTTCTTTTCTGCAGAGTTGGTTATGCAGGTGACAACTTCGTTCGCTACACAGGCGATACCATTTCAATGGCACAGACCCAGCGTAAGTGGGCTTTGGGGTTGGGGTTTTTGAAGGAAATTGACTTAAAATACTTAACAATGCTGCTTTCTTGCGAAAGAGAAATAAATAAATCTTTACAGATCAAGACCTTCTTTCAAATTGCTTTAGAATTAAAGGATGTAATTTGAATGTGTGTCAGTTTTAAAGTATTGAGTGGAACCTCTTGTGTACACAGTGTTTGCCTGGGAGGCTTACGACAAAGGCTCTGAAGTTCATCTTCAAGCAGACCCTACAAAATTAGAACTCCTCTATAAATCTTTCAAAGTGAAAAAAGAAGATTTCAAGGCACAGCAGAAAGAAAGCATCCTAGAGAAGGTAATATGTGTTTGGGTTTATTTAATAGGAATTCTGTTTGAAGTCTGGGTCTTGGGGAGCAAGTAAGATTACTAATCCTATGTGAGAGGGCATCAGCTGTTCTCAGCAGCTTAGACTTAAAATATTTTTGTATTTATACACACTATCTCATCAATTGATGAATTTTATTTAGTATAGGAACCTTTGAAAGTCTGCTGGTATTGATATTATTGGGAACTCTTCCCTAAACTGTCAGAATTTCTCCACTGAAGAAATCTGAATTTCTTTTCGACACAAATTTTTGGTACAGTCTTTTAGATAAATACTTATTTTATATTTTGCAACTTGATTCTTGGACAACTGAAAAAGAACTAAATAATCCATTTGGATTCTAACCATGTCCACATTCAAGTTTGGAGGGGTACAGGAAGTATTGTTCTGGTTCTACCCAAGCTGGTCTTTGGCTTGGTCTCTAAAGATTTTCTGCTTTGAGTGAGGAGTATTACTGTTGTCATTCTCCAAGCATAAAACAAAACAAAAACAAGCAAACAAAAAACCACACACGCCCCAAAACCCCGCAAAACTAAACACCAGAAGACACCACAGTGGCCATGGGAGATGATGTATTTCTGTCTTAACTCTTCACTAAAGATTAAACTGTCCACTTTTGTGCCTTCTTGACAAGTCCGCAAAACTAAACACCAAAAGACACCAGTGGCCGTAGGGGATAATGTATTTCTGTCTTAGCTCTTCACTAAAGATTAAACTGTCCACTTTTGTACCTTCTTGACAAGGTACCAAAGGTGCTGTTTTTGAAATGTTTGCTTAACTTATAAAAGTTATATATAAAAGGTGTGTTTTTTCCAAAACTATTATGTGTCGTTTCTATTTGCATTTTAGTATGGCGGACAAGAACATTTAGATGCCCCCCCAGCTGAACTGCTGTTAGCTCAAACAGAAGATTATGTGGAGTATTCTAGGTGTGGAACAGTCATCAAAGGACAGGAGAAAGCTATTGCTTGTTCCAAGTATGAAGAGGATGTGAAGATCAACAACCATACAGTAAGTCCTAGGTTGTGTTAAAATTTTTTACAATTAAATACCATCCCATTGGAGGTATATGAGGATTCAATACAATTTAATACACCAAATACATTTCTCCTGTGTCAATGTGACACTTTCTCTTAAGAAGAAACTTCAAATTATCATAGTTGTGATTTAAATTTGAGGAATTGCCATGGCAATCTTAAACTAAAGGGGAAGTTACTCTATTCACCTTCCACTTTGAATATAAGTTGACCACATCCTGTTGTGATTCTTTTTTGACAGTGTACCTGTAAGGTTCATGTAAAATAGCAAAAGTATTTCTCTTAGCTTCCTTTTGGACTGTTTGAGTAATTAATTTACTTACCAGAACATCAGCTTAGGAGTAAATTTTGGCCTGCCTCTTACAGGAGTAACTGTGTGGTGTGCTCTCTTGCAGTGCATTTGGGGTTCATACTGGAAAGAAGGAAAGTGGGGTTACAAGTGCTGTCACTCCTTTGTCAAGTACTCCTACTGTACAGGAGAAGCTGGGAAGGAAATTGCTGTAAGTATTCTCTTGTTTATGCATGTGGAAAGAGCTAAAAAGCATTAATATTCTTACTTAAGGTTTAGACTGTTTTGCTTTTTGAGGGAGGCTGTTTTTTTCAGTGATTTGTGGGACTTTTTTTTTGTCCTGCCCCTTTCAGATATTGTCAGTAACAAGGTATCCTTGTTCTTGTCTGTTGTATAGAATACAGAGGCAAGTTTAATGGAGGAGCAGCCTGAGGAGGAAGAGCACATGACAAAACCCAAAACACTGATGGAGGTAGGATGTTTACCTTTCTCAGGAAGACAGATATTTCTTCTCAACATTTCATCTACAAAATTCTGTAGAGCCCTAATCAGCCTGAAAATTACTAGACTGCATTATTAGAGCATTAACATCTCCATTGAAAACCAGGCTCTCAAATAGCATTAATGGAAATTTGGATTTAGTGGTTTGGGCGTTATGAATGTTGGCAAGTTGAATCTTAACAGTAACTTGTTTCCCACCCTACAGATCCACCAAGAGAAACAGAAAGAGAAGAAAAAGAAGAAGCACAAGAAGAGCTCAAATTCTGACAGTGAGGGTGAAGAGAAAAAGAAGCAAGAAAAACTGAAAAAGGTGCACTATAATCTTCAGTGGCTTTGTGGCAAAAGGAACATGACATATTTTACAACATCACTTTTATGAAGCCTATCATGTAGTTCTTGGTGATATACCATGGAGTAGTTTGATGCTAATTTTGAGCTAAATTAAATTTTAAATGCTATTAGGTGTTCATCCCCTATTCCTCAGGCAAAGCTTCAATAAGTATTTAGTTTCGAAGACTTAATTCAGATGACTTAGAACATTTCATGTCTAGGCACCTATTACACCTGTAGGTCTATAAAAAACATGGAAGAATACAATGATTTGTGTATTGAAGAAAGATGGAGAGTTCAAGGCAGTGTTAAATCTTAACATAGCACTTTGTATCCCAGGCTTGGCCCAGTCTCACAGCTGATGTAATCAATCCATGCCCCAAGCCATGCACTGCTGAGCAGCAGTGTGCTCCCCTGGCCACAGCAGCCTGCCTCAGGCTACTCTGAGAGGAAACGAAACCTGTTAAAACTGTGCTTAATTAAAGCAGGGTACAATGCAACTTCTTTTCCAGCAGCAACAGTAATAGTTTGAGGAATGAGATAGCGCATGACATTTAAAAGTTGAAACCCCAAACATACAACAAAAAGTAAGGAACAATTCATTTGCACTTGCTAGATCACAGTTATATTTTAGGTTAAGTCCTGTGAGTTTCTTACTTGATTTTGACATTTGGAAAGAGATTGTAGTGTCTTGTTTACTAAATAGCATTTTACCATCATTTTGTGTTAAATACTAAAAAATGTGCATTAAGTGAAATGTGCTGTGCGTGAGCCAGACAGATGTGCATTGCTTATCCCACCCTTGTGCTTGCTCCTTGTCCATCATACAAGAATCTAAGACAAACCTTCATTGTTGGGTTTGTGTGGTTTAACTTTCACTGCAGATTTTTTTATTCCTTTTGCTCTCATTTCAGGCTCTCAATGCTGAAGAAGCTCGACTTCTCCACATCAAAGAAATCATGCAGTTAGATGAGAGGAAGAGACCATACAACAGCCAGTATGAAACCAGGGAGCCAACAGAAGAGGAGATGGAGGCCTACAGAATGAAGAGACAGAGACCTGATGACCCCATGGCCTCTTTCCTTGGGCAGTAGTCACAGGAGGCACCATTCCAGTACACAAGGCTTTTTCCAGTTGTTTACAACTCTCTATAGACACTTTATTCCCTTGCACACGCCTAAAATGGCAGAAACCTTTCTGTGCTCTGAAGAAATTTGTGAAAGCTTCTTTCAGCAGACATGAGCAGTCTAGAACTTACTGGAGTTTTGTAAATGTGTGTGTATGTATACAAATGCAGGCACATATATACACACACATATATGTAATATATGTATAGATAAAATATACAAACCTGCTCTGTAAGTCCTTGAAGGAGATCTGACTGAAATCCTAGGTTTATTTGGCCAACTAGCATGTGTGTGTGTGTATATATATATACATATATATATATGGCCAACTAATGCCTAAAGTTGTGATACAGTAAAACTGACTAGTCAGAAGAAATGGTCAGCAGGTGTGAATATAGAACAAAAATTATTGACCAAAAATTGACACAACTACTACTAGAGTTTCTTGTTTGTAAAGCCTGTATCATGACTGTAAAAGTCATTGTTTCTTGATCACTTTGCAGTAAGTACTTTGGAAATGTAAAAGTTAATTGCTTTGTTCTGGTTAAATCAATATGAAAATCTTAATTGCTGTCTAACCTTTTAAATGAAAGGGTTAGGAGAAGCTGACTGTAGAGTTTTTAAATTCCAATTGTTTCTTCAGATGTTTTTCCACAGAAATTTCAGTTGCAAAGATCTGTGTTCTTGAGTTTCCTTTTGATAACAGTGTTGTTTTACATGGTGTGACACCAAATGTCAGGCTCTAATCCCCTGGGAGAGTATGAAGCAGCATCTGCTTTGATTTGGCAATGTTAGTCCTTACACTGGGAGTTTCCCCTTTTAACTAATTAAAAGTTGAAGAACTGGATGAAAAACTGCACAGCATGACTTTAGAGTTGGAAGGCTTGGGAATTACTTCTGTTGAGGCTTAAACTCTTTCCAAGGAAAAACTGTTCTTTTCCACAAATAATTACACACAGAAGACATACCTGTGAGTGTCCTGTGTGTGATTTCACAGACACTGAGGACTGAATGTTTTCATTTGGCACATGTAGCTAATGATGGCAATTCTGCACTGGTCTGCAATTGGTTCTGTATTAATACAATATATGATATTCTCATTGGTGATCAAAATTTTGAGTATTTACTGTGTGTCTGATCCTCTGCCACACAGTAAAAGCAAACTGTCTGAATTGGCTGGTTTGAGCTGAAGTGTTCTTCTCGGGGCTGTAGCACCTGGGCTTGTGCCAGCATGCCCTGCAACTGCTGTTGGCTTGGTCAGTGCCACGTTCAGTTTGAGGGAAGAGGAGCTGTCAGAAGGGTTCCTTGAGTTATTTACATACCTTTCTCAGAGCTGCAGTTTAGTCTAAAAAAAGTTAAATCTGAAAGAATTAATTGTTTATAAAGGAGGTAATTCAGAAATAACACAAAGGAAATTTCAAGACTAACTTTGTAAGCTGTGGATTGACTTCATGGAAACTTTAATACATCGAGTCTCTACTGAATTTATGTGAAGTGATTGTTCAGGAATTAAAATTCAGTCCTAAATTTAGGATTAGATTTCACCAATGAGTCAGTCCCAAGCACTTGGGGCAGTAGTTGCGCCATGCCATATCTTTAGTTTGTAAAGGAAGGGCGCTCCTTTAAAGGGTTGTCAGGTTATTTATTTCGACCTTGAGAGGACAGTGTGTTATCCTGAGACTTGTTCTTAAACAGCTGCAACACTTATCTGATGATTTAAAAAAAACTCATGCATACATTTCCAGCTGGAATACTCCAGTCAGATGGATAAACATTTGTCAGAATAAATGGCAGGAAATGTGAAGCAATGCTGATACATTCAGAACCTTCCAGGAATAAACAGACCTGTCTGATTTTCATCATGAATATGAAATGGCATTTCTCCACTTTGGGAGTTTATTCTGGGTGCAGCATTTCATGCATAAAACTATGTAAGATTATTTCTTGGATCATGAGCTTTTTTGCACTTGCCCCAGTTACTATACAGGCTTCTCCAAGAACAGGAAAGGAGTAAGTCAGAATTTAAAAACACCATTTTGTTCTTCACCTGCCCAGATGTAATTACGCATTGGGCTGTCCACTGAACCTAAGAAAATACCAGTCCTGCCTCAAAGCAAGTATTTCATGCTAATAATTTTTATGATAATCAATATAAATCAGCAAGGAGTTTTTATATGGAAAAAAGTTACTAATACAAAATGATAAATACATACTTTTAGATCGTCAACAACCTTTACATGGGTTGAGAAATGGTTTAGATAGTAAAATACTTTTTTGAGGTGAGCTTTGTGACAATCTGAGCCTGTAAAATGTAAAGGTTTGACCCAAGCGTTTGTCAGACTTTTGTGACTAATTCCCATGAAGTTAATTGTTGAGGTCTGCTCTTCTGCCTTTGTAATGGTCACACCAGGCTGTATATTTTATTGCTACAGTTGAATTTTCTGGTATCTAAAAATACCACAAGCCATTTTTACAGGCCCATTTGTAGAAGACTCAAGAATTACTTAATTTTCACCATACATTGCAGAAACCCAAGCATTTGCAATTTTAAGTTACTGACACTGTCAGAACTGTCCTGAGGAATGCCCAGTGTCTGTTCTCCAAGCTGCCCTGTTGAGCTCTCCAGCCCAGAACAGCCCAGAATCATTTCTGATAGGATTCCTTGGTTTGTGCCAGGAATGCTTCTTCACCCATGCTGGGCTTACTCCCCACGATGGCACATGGCCCCCATTGCTGAGGGATTTGTGCATTCTGGTCCCTCCAGCTGAAGATCAGACACACATTTCATATTTCTGTCTAGTCCAGGCCTAGTGTGGTTGTTGTGGCAGGTGTGCAGTTTGCTCCTCTCTCTGCCTCCCTCTTCCTCTTCCTTCACCTCTCCCTGAGTAGGGAGACCATTTGTAGGTGCTCCAAGACAATTTAATTCTAAGATCAGAGGGGTAAGAGTTCTTACTCGTGGTGTTTGTGTGCTCGTGGTGTTTGCTGCTTTAGCTGCCTGCAGTGCTGCTGGGAATCCTCAGCAGGAATTAACCACCTAAAAAAAGTGTCCCTCTTTCAGGAGTGTGGGCAGCCCTTGCCAAGTCACTGGCTGTTGGTTACCCTGCCTCCCACATACACTTTGGTCATTCTTTGATGGTTGTGAATACCTTGGGGGGGAGAAAGGGATTAATTTGGGGGGAAATTGGCACAAAAACAAAATCCTGTACTTTCAAGGTTTTTTTGTAGATAAGCTGAAAAAGTGATTTCTGATATGATTTAAAGCAATTCTTGCTTAACTGATTCATTTGTCAAACTGAAGATGTGTGTGATGGGACAATGCCAAAAAGCAGTTCCAGGCAGATCTTGGCTGACAAGGTTCTCTCATGCTTCTACTTGTGCAAAATTTTGAGTTTCCAGTTCCAATCTTATGAGACTTCCCTACAAACCCTTGAGTGCAATAAGCTGATTTACTGGAGGCCCTGACTTTCTCTGTAAGCAGCATCTGTTCTTTGGGAAGCTCAGTTAATATTTCTGCCACGTGGCATTTCCCAGCAAGGGCTGAACAGCCCCACAGATCCAACAGAGGCAGAAACAGAGTGAAACTCAGAAGTGCCTGGATGTGAGTGACTCTGGGACGTCCCAGTCCCTCCCTGCCCTTCCTTTGGCACCAGCTGCTCTCCTTTCCCCCAGGCAGATGCGCAGCACAGAGGAGACACCTCCATCCCTGCATGTCCCTGGTAAGCAGCATGGGCTGTGGAATTGCTTTGGTGTATTTCAGAGGTGCCTCGGGGGGGGCTGGGGCGGCTCAGTAGGATCTCTTCTACCACACCAAGGGAATTTGAGCTTTTTCCTGCTCTGCTCAGGTCTCGGGCTTTAGAATCTGTGACCATAACCCAGCATGATCCTGGCAGTGCCCACAAAGCTGGCCTGGGGCACAGTTATCTAACACGGGAGATCTGCTCTGGTCGATAGGGCAGGGAACTGGAAATAAACAACTTGCTCCCTTTTGCACTGGACTCACTGCATGAAAGTGGGTAAACAGCAGTGTAGCCCCAAATATGTCCATTGAGGAGCTTTCCTCAGCTCTGTGTCTGAGAAGCGCTGAGCTCAAAGCACCTTTATCTCTCCCTGTCTCTCTGTCTCTCTCTCTTTTTGTATGTATATGTGTATATATATATAATATAAAATAGTGAGTAATTTTGCCTAAATTATATAAAACAGAATGGGAAAAGGAATTTGCACATACTAAATAAAAAGGAAACCTCTTCCAGGTTTGTAAGTTAATTGTCATCATTAGATGAAACTCCACATGGGTATGTAGGAAAATTGCTTCCTCTAATTTATGTAAAATCAAATTTGAAAAGCAGAGATCAAGTGTAGCACCTTGTATATCCCCTCATAGGACTTTCAGAACTGACACCCTGTGTGCTTCCTGTTTTCTGTTAATGACTTACTGCAACTTTACCACATGAAAAGCATCTTGAAATTTGTTCCTGAGCTTCTTCCTATAGTGCAAACTCTTGCAAAAGTTGTTTGGAAATTTCCATTGTGCATGGCTTGCAGGATAAGGTTCTTATCAGACGGAATGTTTCATAGAAAAGAAAATATGTGCTTCCTAAAATATTAAGTGTAAAATGTCTTTGATAACATTCTGTCATCCCAAAGCCTTCTGAAGTTCAGGGAAACCCCAGAATTTAAATGATTAACTGGCATTTCCAGACTCCTGGCCAAACTAACTCTTATCACATCTGAATGTTCTGTTATTAATGAGCCAGGTTTGCTTGGAGCCCTCCGAGGCCCTTTTTACTGTTTGATTACTAGAATAATATTGCTTTTACTTGTGAAAATATGTGCTCAAGTTGCACTGGGAGACAGCCCGATTTTTTTTTTTTTTTTTCCAAAAGCTACTTTGGTAGAATCACAGGATGGTTTGGGTTGGAATAAACCTTAAAGATCCCTAGCTTCAGCCAGCCTGCCCTGAGCAGGGACACCTCCACTAGACCAGGTTGCTCCAAGCTTCGTCCAGCCTTGTCCCTGAACACTTCCAGGAAGGAGGAGTCCATACCCAGAGCCCACATTGCAGAGACATAGATCAGATCCTGCTGGGTCTGCACATTTAAAAGCTTCACTGCAGAAAACAAAAGCACATGAGAAAGAAATACCTGTTGTCAGTCATTATTCTAAATTAGTCTGTCCTCAAAAGCCAGACCTTTATGTTCTGTATCTCTGTTGTCCCCCAATAATTTTTGCTCTAAGCCCTTCCCCACTGCTGGGTTGCAGCTTGGTTTATCTGGGACCATGGCAGAGCTGCCCTCCTCTGGATCTTGAACTTCATCGTGTAATGCTCCTTTTTCTTTGGCATCTAATGACCACAGGATTTATTTAGCCTCCTGTAACAAAGCCCCACTGTGCTGGAGTGTTGTGAGGGAAAGCAAAGAATCAGCTGCTGCCTTGCTCTGTAACTGCAGTGCAGCCTGCCAGGAGCCCCCTTGGGATTTATCTCTCCAAATGCAGAGGAGAGCAGCACATAGGTGATGACAAAAGCAGGCAGCAGCTGGCATTGCTGCTCTTCAGCTGGACCCTTGTCCCAGGGGAACCATCATGTCCCTCTCTTCTTACTTCTCTGGCATTTTACAGTGTTTAAAGAAACAAACAGATCACCCTTCCTATGGGAGCTGTTTATTTGCACCTTGTGCTATTCTTTTAATACCTGTCTGCAAGTGAAATTCCTGAACACATTTTTTCAGTGTAGTGACAAGTGGTGTTTAAATTCTGGGTTTATAAATACCTGGAAAAATGAGAGCATCCAACTTCTGATGAATGACACATTCTCTGAGCAAAATGCCCTGATTCTTTTTTGAAGGCTCTCTCTTTTAAAGAGAAGAGTTTTGGCCATTAATCTGTGTGGAATCATTATCAGACTGAGTGCAGATTTCTGGTAAATCTCTGATGGTAGCTCTGGATACACATCTGTGTTCCAGGTACACACCTCTGCAATGAGCTCAGGGACCCCAGGCTGGAGGGACAGGCCCTGATGGTTTTTATGTTTCATGCCCACACTCCTTTTCATACTGAAGGAAGCTCAGCAGCATTCTCCTCTCTCTTCTCTCTCCTTTCTCCTGACATTGACTGAGAATTCACCCAATTCCTCTGATAACACCTTCAGCTCAATAAACCACCAGGAAACTAAATAAAAGCCCTGATCAGCTTCTGCCAGATCAGCAAACTGAACCAGCTCAGCAGGGTTCAAGTTCTAGAGCTGCAGCAGGGCTGGTGTGGAGGAGGGGGAGAGAAGGGGTGAAGGCAATCTCTCTCCTTCCAGCAGCAGTTTGGACACATTTCCATTTAAATGGCTTGAGCAGATTCTGCTCTGAGGCCCAGGGATCACTGGTGGTCTGTGAGCCATATGAAATGAACTTCAGCTGCTTTGAGAAAAAAATATTAAACAGTGAAATTAATTAAATTAATTAAAAATTAATCCAGGCTGGTACAGCCCCTTGAATCA